GGTTTAGGGTTTAGGGTTTAGGGTTTAGGGTTTAGGGTTTAGGGTTTAGGGTTTAGGGTTTAGGGGGTTTAGGGTTTAGGGTTTAGGGTTTAGGGTTTAGGGTTTAGGGTTTAGGGTTTAGGGTTTAGGGTTTAGGGTTTAGGGTTTAGGGTTTAGGGTTTGGGTTAGGGTTTAGGGTTAGGGTAGGTTTAGGGTTTAGGGTTTAGGGGGTAGGGTTAGGTTTTAGGGTTTAGGGTTTAGGGTTAGGGTTTAGGGTTTAGTAGGGTTTAGGTTTTAGGGTTTAGGGTTTAGGGCTAGGGTTAGGGTTAGGGTTTGGGGTTAGGGTTTAGGGTTTAGGGTTGGGGGTTTAGGGTTAGGGCTTAGGGTCAGGGGGTTCCTTGTAAAGTAACCCTAAACCCTAAAACCCTAACCCTAAACCCTAAACCCTAAACCCTAAACCCTAAACCCTAAACCCTAAACCCTAAACCCTAAACCCTAAACCCTAACCCTAAACCCTAAACCCTAAGCTGACAAGCGACTAAGGCCCCGGGACCGATGTTCTGCTGCGCGACGGAAGCTGCCAAAACCTTCACCTGCAGGCGGGCTAAGGTTGTTAGGGTTTAGGGTTTGGGGGTTAAGGTTTTAGGGTTTAGGGTTTATGGGTTAGGGTTTAGGGCTTAAGGCATAGGGCTTAGTTAGGGGGGGGGGGGGGGGGGGGGGGTTTAGGGGTTCTCGGGCTTTATGGCTTTAGGGTTTTAAGGCAGTAAGGTTTTTTTTTGGCTTTAGTGTTTTAGGGTGTTAGGGTTGAAAGGAAAATTGAACCAACAAAAGGGCAAACTGGGCCACCAAGGTTCTGGGTACTCAACTGCTCCAAGAAAACCCGTTGAAGCTAAAAGCGTGTGCTCGACTATCACTCTAGGCTGAAGCTGGGCCCAGAGCTCTGGAGTGGCAAGGCTCACTGAGGGTTCAAGGGGGGCTGTCTTCTTAAGCAGGGTTTGTGAGGTGGTTTCGGGGGCTAGGGCTTGAGGTTTGTAGGGGTCCTGGGGGCATTAGACCTGTGGGATCAGAGTCCAAAAACCGGCCTTCCCGTTCTTGAAGAAGCTTTCGCCCGAGCGGATGGCGTCGTACTCGCGACCAAGGACGTGGATGCGCATGAGGTCCACCTGTCCGACAGGTAGAGTCCTCGCAGTTGCTTGTCACAACTTCGGCTGCGCGGATTCCAGCCTGCGTTATGGAGTGCTCCGCGAAGACGCTCTCCAAGCTGGCGCATTCCTTTCTCAGGGCGCAAGGACTTGCCAGGATTCTCTTAAGGCGAAGGACCACGCTTTGTGCTGGTAGCAGCTGAGCCGCGACCGTTTGCGAGGACGAGTCCTCTGTCGCCTAGGCAACATGGCAAAAGCTTGATTTGACGGCTTCCTGTCTCAGCATGTCGGGATCGACCGGTCGGAGTTCAGCAGCTCTGAATAATGATCAAAAGAATGGTAATACTAATAATAATAATAATAATAGTGATAATACTAATAATAATGACAATCTGATCCTACCAGCTGGCCTCCGCCCACGCGGGCTGCACGAAAGAAGTTCCAGTCTGCTTCAGTTCAAACTGGAACTTACCTCAGTGGCAGAGGGACAATCAGACGACATGAAGCAGGGTTTATATTTCTTGTACCCCCAAAAGGACACCCAATACATACACTCACCTATAGTAGAAAGGAACCTTATATACACTCGCCAATAACAGTATATAAACCCTGTTTCACATGCTGCTGAAGACCCACGAACGCCCCTCAGGGCTTTGGATGTCGGAGGTAAGGGTGGACAAAACCAGGAGTCACCTGTCTCTCGCAGTGCCGCCAGTGAGACAAATAGAAATTTCCCACCCTCCTGATGTCTCCTCACACACATCTTGCAGAACTCGAACGAGACCACCCTGTGCATTTTTTTTGCGGCCTGAAACGCCAAACCCTAAACCCTAAACCCTAAACCCTATACCCTATACCCTGACACTACAACATCAACTCCTCAACTTGTGGCTTTCGTCGAAAGGCACGGAACCTACCCAGGATTGCCTCGTACACCCCATAAGGGTTTAGGGTTTAGGGTTTAGGGTGTAGGGTTATAAGAGGGCCTACTTGGCTACATGCTCTCCAAGAGGCGTTTCTCGGGGCAAATGAACTTCTCCACCACCGTCATCCGGTCCTTAGAGGCATGGCACGTGCCAGTGTTGCGAGCTGAGCTTTTTCGGGACCCCGGTCGCGATGACTCCTCAAACCCTGAAGCCCTCAGCGGCTCTTAAAAGCCTTAGGTTGAACTTAGGCCGCCAAAACCCTAAACCCTGAACCGTAACAAAACCACAACCCCGAACCCTAAACCCCAAAACCCTTAACTCTTAACCCCTAAACCCCAAAGCCGAAAGCCTAAACCCTAAACCCTAAACCCTAAAAACCCTCCATCGACTCGCGGAGTCAGGGTTTCAGGGGTGCGGGGTTCATCGGATCGCCTCACTCAAGCCTCTCAATCCCCGAAAGCTTGGTTCGCCCCCAGAAGCCCTAACTAAACTTGAGCCTAAAACCTCTAAATCCTAAAACCCTAAAGCCCTGAACCCTAAACCCTAAAACCGAAACAAAACAAAAATCTCAAAACCTCAAACATGCAAAATCCTTAAACCCTTAAGCCCCTGAACCCCTAAAGCCCTTAAACTCTCAAACCCTAACCCCCCTCAAACCCTTAGACCTCAACTAAACGCTAAACCCTAAACCCTATAAACCCTAAACCCTAGACGCTAAACCCTAAACCCTAAACCCTAAACCCTAAACCCTAAACCCTAATTAAGCCCTAAGCCCTAAGCCCTAAGCCCTAAGCCCTAAACCCTAAACCCTAACCCTAAACCTCAACCAGGCTGCTTGGAAGCCGTTCGCCGACACCGTGCGTCGGAGCGCCGCCACGGCCGGGCCGTAGGCGTCCACGGCCAGGGCGCGGGTCCTTGTGAGTTAGGGTTTAGGGTTTAGGGTTTAGGGTTTAGGGTTTAGGGTTTAAGGTTTAGGGTTTAAGGTTTAGGGTTTAGGGTTTAGGGTTTAGGGTTTAGGGTTTAGGGTTTAGGGTTTAGGGTTTAGGGTTTAGGGTTTAGGGTTTAGGGTTTAGGGTTTAGTGATTGCTACGCCGCTGAGGCCCGAGCTGCCTCGGCAGGTGTGTCATGGCCCAGAGCACGCAACCTCGCCAAAGCGAGGCAGGGTTTAGGGTTTAGGGTATGGGGTTTAACTAGGGTTTAGGGTTTAGGGTTTAGGGTTTAGGGATTAGGGTTTAGGGTTTAACGCTTAGGGTTTAGGGTTTAGGGTTTAGGGTTTAGGGTTTAGGGTTTAGCGCTTAACGCGTGCAACAGGATGAGCCACCAGTCAGGATTAGAGTGTGCCGGGGTTGATCTGGATGGTGGACCCTAAACCCTAAACCCTGAACCCTAAACCCTAAACCCTAAACCCTAAACCCTAAACCCTGAACCCTAAACCCTGAACCCTAAACCCTAAACCCTAAACCCTAAAAACCCTAAACCTGCCGGAACCCTTTTTAAGGGGCTCTGGAATCCTCATCCCCCAAAAACCCCAAAAACACCCAACCCAAGACACTAAAACCAAAAACCCATGAACACCAACCCCAAACCCTAAAACCCTACAACCTGAAAACCCCAAAAGTAAACAACCCTGCAACCCTAAAACCCTAAACCCAAACACCCTAAACCCCGAAAAGTGGGTCAAGGTTTGGGGCTTAGGGTTCTAACAGCCTCTGGCAGAGGGCTGTAGGGTTTTAGGGTTGAGGCTTCAGGGTTCTGGGCTTAGGATGACCTGAAAAGCCCGCCATCAAAGACCCTCCCTAAACCCTAAACCCTGAACCCTAAACCCTAAACCCAAGGGCCTTAACCCTAAACCCTAAACCCGAAACCCTAAACCGTAGTAGCCCTAAACCCTAAACCCTGAAGTGGGCCTCCCAGGTGTGTCCCCACCTCTACGATGGTCAGAGGCCGCTGCACCTCCTTTCGGCAAAGTCTCATTGTGGAGTCGAGTCTTGGGGGCCGTTTTGTTTCAAACCCTAAACCGGGTTTAGGGTTTAGGGTTTAGGGTTTAGGGTTTCGGGTTTAGGGCTTAGGGCTTAGGGTTTAGGGTTTAGGGCTTAGGGCTTAGGGCTTAGGGCTTTAGCGTTTGGGGTCTGGGGTTTAGGGCTTAAAGCTTAGGGCTTACGGCTTAGGATCCTAAACCCGGAACCATGCACCCTAAAACGCCCCCCTGAACCTTAACTTCAACTCTCGTTCAGCGCGGTGACGGCTCACATCGGGGTAGCCTTGAGGGATATCGAATTGTGAGGGTCTCTGAGGCATCCACCTGATTTGGAGAAAAAAAAGCTAGCGGCATCTGGAAATGGCCCTAAACCCTAAACCCTAAACCCTAAACCCTAAACCCTAAACCCTAAACCCTAAACCCTAAACCCTAAACCCTAAACCCTAAACCCTAAACCCTAACCATATCTCAAGCCGGGCTTTGGCTTCGCGAATGGCCCAGCTACGAGATGCTCACCATGCGTGCGCGTCGCAGGGTTTAGGGTTTACAAGGCCTTAAGGGTGCAAGGGCCCTAAACCCTAAACCCTAAACCCTAAACCCTAAACCCTACACTTTAAGGCTTCGGCTTCGGGGGCTTGAGGCTCTTTGTGCCGTCGGCCCTTGTGGCTCGGCGCTTTGTGAAAACAGGTCCTGCGCTGTCAGGCTCTGATTCCTAAACCCTAAACCCTAAACCCCAAACCCTAAACCCTAAACCCTAAACCCTAAACCCTAAACCGAGCGGGGCATGTTCCCACTGCACCTGGGAGTCAGCTCGCTCAGAACTCTTAACATCGGCGTCCTTCCTAGTACCATCTGCGCAATTTGGGGGTGTCCGAAATTAGGGGTACCTTATTGGGGTCCGTATTATGAGGGAATCATACTACTTGGGGTTTAAATTCGGGGTCCCTTATTTTCGTAAACCCCCATGTAGGACTCCTACAAACCGCACACAGAGCACTTGCCCTCACTGCCACGGGGAGTTCGAAGGTACAACTTCCAGCACTCCTTACACATGTAGTGGTGTCCTCTGCAACAGGCTGAACAACTTCCTGACCTGGGTTGGCCTTTGAAGCCTCTGAAAAACATTTTTATATAGGGTCCCCTACAAACACAAATAGAGAAAACATAAAATGTCCCAAGATCCAACCTAGTGACCTTCTGCGTGGCAATACAGACACAGGCAGTCATCATGCACAGGAAGCTGCTCAGTTACCGTGTGGCAATCGGAGATGAGGCTGTCCAGCTGCTTGATGTACTGGCTGTCGGGAATGGTCATCAGCACGTCAACCATCTCGGCAACTCGTTGCGTGTCGGATTTCATGTCCTTCTTGCGGTAGCAGCATTCGTATCCGGCATAGATGAGAAGCCCAAGCAAGGCCCCGCCAGCACCAACAACGGCGCCTATCCCAGCACCGACTGCGACGTGGGCTAGGACGGTCCACGCGGCACACTTGCAGCCTGCGTCAGCAAGCAGCGCGACGATGCCAGCTACAAAAGCTCCGCTGATGACTCCGCTGCCGACCACGACTGCCGAGGCCGCGAAAGGAGCCCTCTTCAGCCATGATTCCAATGCGGCCACTTGGGTCGCAAAGAAGTTGGTTGGAGTTCCAAGAACTTTGTAGATGTTAAGCTCAAACAGAGATAAGAGCTGAGTCATCTTGCAATAGACCTCGTTCAACTCACTCAGTCTGGTGGCTCCATCCACAACATTGAAGGTAATGAGATCCAGGTACTCTTGCTTGATGCCAACGTGCTTGAGTTCCATTGCCCGGTTCCTTGTTCATGGTTGGGATAATATTAGAATTTAAATGTTTATTCCTGATTGGGTTTAAGTACCCTTAAAAATGTAACATGTTACGCAACTATGACCAAGGTTCATGGTCTGGCTACTGCAAACGAGACCTTCCAGGTACTCGAGCTTCTGCTGCAGCACATCGTCCGGGGTCCCCTTGAGTCTCTGCATCAAAGACTGGACTTCTTTCCGCAGAGAAAGGGTCGCCTTTTCCGTCTCGCCAAGCTGGCGCGCAAACTCGGACATGGCATTCGGTTGGTACTCCTGTGCCCACATGCCTCTGCACCCGCAGCCTCGTAATTTGTGCAGGGCGGAGTTTTGGCGAAATGCTGGACCAGCTATCTGTATTCACGCTTGGGAGGACATGATTGCGAGAACATGTGCAGCCCGCTCGTGCTCTAAAGAATGCCAACGCTCCATGATTCTCATATTGAGGGTACCAGAAATTGGTTGGGCACTAAGCGAAAGCGTACCCCTGATATACCCCCAACGATATGATAACCCAAACCCCATTATAGGACCATAGGAACCCCCACAATGGGTACCCCTATCACGGAAAAAACGATTGCCTACCATGAATAAGGGCGTGCCAGCTGCATCTGCGCGACCAAAGAATTGACACCCATAACCCCAAAATAGTATTGAAAGGACAAGGCTTTAGGGTTCTAGGGTTTAGGATTTAGGGTTTTAGATTTAGGGTTTAGGGTTTAAGGTTTGGGGAAGCGGCAGCGGTTTCTAGCTTAGTCCCGCCGGAATTGTGCAATGGAAATGACCCTAGTTGGTAAGGCCCCGAATCCCTAAACCCCAAACCCTAAACCCTAAACCTTAAACCCTAAACCCTAAACCCCAAATCGACCTCTAGCCCGGAACTCCTTGTGCTCTGAGACCAAGCGCTTGTAGTCAGCATCCTTGGGTTTGGGCCTTAAGGATGTTGAGGGCTTCGGTTTTATGGGTTTGGGGTTTAGGGTTTGGGGTTTAGGGTTTAGGGTTCAGGGTTCAGGGTTTAGGGTTTAGGGTTCGTTTAGGTGAGTAGGGTTTAGGGTTTTGGCGGATTCGCGCTTCGGATTCTAGGGATTCAGGGATGCAGGTCCGTGGGATTTTTGAGTTCATGCCCCTAAACCTTGTGAAATATTATGAGCACCTGAAGACCATGGGATGGGTCACTTACGCTGGGAGGCTTTTTTGGGTTTAGGGTTTAGGGTTTAGGGTTTAGGGTTTAGGGTTTAGGGTTTAGGGTTTAGGGTTTAGGGTTTAGGGTTTAGGGTTTAGGGTTTAGGGTTTAGGGTTTAGGGTTTAGGGTTTAGGGTTTAGGCCGGGCCACGCAGTGCAGCTCGTAAAACGCCCGGACGTGGTTGGACTCCACGTTCGGGGTGGGCAGCACGTGGACAAAGAAGGGCTCGTGAGGATGCGTCAGCGAGTCCTTTGGTTTAGGGTTTAGGGTTTAGGGTTTAGGGTTTAGGGTTTAGGGTTTAGGGTTTAGGGTTTAGGGTTTAGGGTTTAGGGTTTAGGGTTTAGGGTTTAGGGTTTAGGGTTTAGGGTTTAGGGTTTAGGGTGCTTGGGTTTAGGGTCCTTGGGTTAAGGGTTTATCCATGTAGTGGCAGGCAGATTGGGGGGTTGTTTAGCGTTCCTATGTATAAACGGGAA